AACAATTTGAAAAATTAGTCTACGATCGATTATTGATTACTGGTCATTTTGCTTCACGATCTTAGTCATTAGTAATATTTTTTTCAAATTTCAAATTGTGTTCCTAAATCTTACAGATTGGTCGGAAAGTACAAAGTACAAAAATAAGATTTCATTTTCCACTCAGTGCCGAAGGCGCAGTTGAAGGAAGTAGGCGAACAGAAAACCACAAAAGTCCAGTTCCCAAAAAGTCTAAGAAATTTCGCCACAGGCCGAAGAAAAGCACGATTCCCGCAGCGCACTTTCCTACGGCTAAATAGAATCAATTGGAAAAGTTTGCCTTCCCTTCGTTTAGTGCTGCTGCCATGGACACGGGGTATCTTCCCTTTCCTCCTCTTAACTCTCCATCCCTTGTTCCCCTGACCCCTCCGTGACCTCCTTCGCTCCTTCGGTCCTTCCGCTTCTTTAGCCTCTTTGCTTCAAAGCAGCAATAGATCAGCAGCCGTTTCCTCGTTCTGCCACGCGAACATTCCCGGCGCGATTTTAAACTTTTGGTCTACGACGTACGAAATGGAGGCAGGCAACTTTTTTTTATTCATCTGTTTTTCGTTTACAATATACATCAAAAGTTCGTATCGATCTGAAAACAGCGCAAACAGATCAGCAAACGATTCCAAAGTTTTTTTCTATGCTGGACATGGTGGATTCTGTGAAAACAAGTCGTAAGGGAGCGATTGCTGAGCCACGTGTCCGTCTATCTACGATTACGACCCTCGTAAGCGTTCGGTTTATCTGCGGGTTGGCAGTCGTCAAAAAGTTGTAGCGTTACGTTAGCAAATACTGAAAACTGCAAACTGGTGTAGTGGCAGCAGTGTAAGCGAGTATCGTAAGAATACCACTTACCGAAGTGAAGTAGGAACTTACACGTAACTGTGGGGATCGCAATAGAAACTGAACAAGGAGCTAAGGATCTTTCAAAGAAAATCTCCAGGATTTCGTAATTGAAACTTTCACGGAAGCACGTAGTGTACCAACCTTGATATTTTACCTTATAATACCAACTTACCCACCTACTACATTCTTTTGACTTTATCAGGTCATCCTCTTCCGTGCTGATCTTGCACAGGAGGAGATAAGCTGAATATATAAGAATGAAAAAAGTATCATTGGGTTTTCAATCCCTTCTATACATACTGTGACGTTATTTTATACCGTCACAAGACTCGGGAAGAGTAACTCGCGTGTTTCAATGGCGGGACGCAGTTCCGTCCCTTTTTCTGGCAACCCAGCACGATACCGGCTAAGAACTCCAGGCTCATAGACTAGCTATCGAACCTTAAGCTAATCCCAAATTGTACCTTATTTCATAAATCGCGAATACGACACCGTACCGAGTCATCACGAAATAACAAGCCACCAAAGGAGGACTTGCCAGATCTACGCCAAGGAACGTGGAGAGCTGTTGCCGATACCTGACGACTCCACCCTGGATGGACCCTGCCCGAAGTAGAGTACGGAGGGCCAATTACAAAGTACAGCGCCATGGACATACACCTCACCTCTCGCTACGTATCGCCGGTATGTCTAGCCAGACTTGTATCGGCTAGTACCGAAGACGAGAAAGTCCCGAGTTCCGCGGGAATTCTCGTGCGGAAGGATCAACGGGCCCCCAGACCGGAGGAGCCGCACCTGAGCTGAGACGACAGACAGTTTCAGCAGGACTACCGAAAACATCAGGAAAAATTGCGTCACAATACATATAAACACACGTACCCACAGAACTGATTTATCAAGTTATCCTGAAAATCATCACGGTTCGTTAATTTTCAAAAAGGGTCCGTTCTGATGTCGTTTTGCTATTTTGATAATTCAATAATTCCAAAATCCTCTAACAGCCACCCGTGAATCTCTAAGACCGCTGCTATTCATCCGACCAAAGATTTCTCACCCGAATGCTGACGATCTTCTTTCATTAAATTCCGTTATGATTCGCTGAAGAATCAGCGGCGCGAGGGATAAAATCTTTCGGAGGGAAGAAGAGCACAGAGAAGCGTAAAGAGGCTGCGGAGTAAGGGGTACAGATGCTTTGTTTAAACACAATGGCTATTGACTCCGTTCGAACTCCATGGGCGTGGAAAACACGACACTGCGGAAGATTGGCTTCGGGTTTCTTGAAATTGAACCACGATGGTAAATTGTCCTGCGAAGATATCAGAAGCACTTCATATTTTAATTTTGAAAATTGTTGGAAGCCATGCGAAATTCAATTTCAAGGCATTTATGATGTTACCGGTGTCACTTGGTTGCATCTTTGAAACATTGTGATAGGGCTATTTCTAGAATGAAATTTTTAGCCCAGATTTTACGTTCTTGTCTGCTGAGGAAAAAAGCTTCGCAGAAATTCTTAACGACAGGAAAAATTCGCGGACAGCTGGTGGATGCTGCGCTTAACTTATAGTCTAGACGAAATTACTACGGCGTACAGACTATATATATATATCGCATCGTGAGGCATATTCGGAAAGGCAGTGAAGATAATACTGTTCTAACGAACTTTTTTCCATAATGCAAGTAAAGCACTGCCAGGCAGTCGAGTGCACCTAAATCCGTTAACTTTAACGCCTGGATCAGCGCCTCTGGACGAGAGTTTTATTATAGATTCCGTATCCCCATCTCGAAATTGGAAAAGGACAAAAAAGAATGAGACGATGTAATGGAGGAAAGAAAGGTTAGGAAACTTAATAATGACGTAATAAAGGCGTAAAGTTTATTCACGATACAATAACGTTTCCTGTTTTAGTAATGTCTGTCAGTCATATGACAAACCAGATATACCCCTAGTAACCCTAGTACCTCAAACAAGGAAATTTAATTGACAGGACCTGACAGACCATTGTGTTTATGCGGTGTGCTTTCATTTTTTTATTTCTTTAATATTCTGAAAGAAACCAGAACTGAAATAGTACTTAGTTTTTCCAAGAGATCAATTGGTTTTTGACTCTATAGAATTGAGGTTCTTATAATTTTGAAATTACTTGAACCTTTTGTAATTCTCTAAAATATTTCTTAAGGGACGATCAATCCACGTTACTATACAAATAATACATCTTTATCACGACTCTGTATCTTGCAATGGGTATAGGCTCTTATCTTGCTGTCTGGTGTTCGGCAATGCTCGTAAATATTCGGGTGTATTCGTATACCGAATGTACGTAGACGGGAAAGTACATTCTTCAAGGAACCAACAGCAATAAAGCATCTCGATCAATTTGGTAAACGAGCTTGGAACTCCGTCTGGAATATCAAGTGGGTATTTGGAATTTGGCGAGAGTGCGTAAAAAATAAATAAATAAATAAGCGAATAGGTATGGGATGAGACAGACTTAACTCTTGGAGCATTTGGTATATTGGATCTGAGGGACAGGATGCATTGGTCCATGATAATCATGTAGGTATTGGATGCTGTGGTTTTTTCTTTATATTTTTTTTTTCTTGGCTCTTACGTATAGAAAGGATATTCTTTTTTATTATTTCTTACCAATGTATATATCACATTGCGTTACGGCCGATATCGTTCCTTAAGTAATAGCCTATTTCTATATTGCGTCACTACGGCCGCCATTGTTCGACCTAACTAACCATTTGTTATTTTTCTGTCGGGATACTATATCAAGAAACTATATACCATGATTGGTATCGATACGAAAACTCATAAAAAAGTTTTCTTTGTTTACCGCGTCACGAGAGCTCGAGCTACTCTCTGGGTTGACTGATACGAGTTAATTAGAGCGCCGGGTAGATTAGTAATTCGACATTGGTGGAGTCCATAACTCATTCATTAAATACTAGTAATCGGATTCGCATAAAAACTTGGTTAATGTAACATAATTTTATTTCATTTTCATAAAGTCTCGTTAAAGTACAAATATTGTATTTCAAGCTACTCGGATGTCTAAATTTAATTTTACAAAATTTCAAGTAGCTACCAAAGTCATAACTAATACGTACAATCGCCATGTCGCGCTATTTCATCATACTCTAACGTACCATGAAAGGTTCTTTCTCATCCTACTATCCTACCATCATTTAATTTAGCAAAATCTCACTGTCAGGTGAGCACCCATAAGATACCCAACCTTGCTGCATTTCGTGACATTCGTAAAAGTCTGGCTGAGTGGTTGATTGCTAAAAATAGCATGCGAGGGCGATTAGTGACCGTGATAAAAATGTGAAAATATATTTTCCATAATACTAGGTATCCAAAAAAGTGATGATAACGCGTGCAAAAATAACACTCATTATAATACCTAGACCAGCGGATTTTAGTTCATCAAAAAAAAAGATGGTGAATTATGAAGTAGAGCGATTTTATTATTCATTATTTTTTTTCTTGTAAAGCATAGCTCTCAAGTGAAAGCTCACATATGACACTTTCGCATGACCTTTTGTCCTGGGTCAACTGATAGGTGCAAACCTTTCTATAGAACGTGCATGACGTCATAAACTACTTCACTAGATAGTACTTAAAGTGGCAAGCGTCATTGAAGCTGGGTATAAAATCGATAACTATAAAATATGCAATTTATGACGTCGTCCCTTAACGGTCGATTGAGCTTTTTTTTCTTAATAATTCAGTGATATCCAGCATTGCAGCTTTTTACATCATGACATTAACGATCGACACCGAGCCCTGGACAGTGGTTATGATATGTGGATCTGGGCTACGTCACACTTGAACGATATGTGATATTTAATATGACGTCATACGATCGTCCTACTTAAATGTCAAATGTCAATACTTTGCTTTCGGATATTAACCCCCTTTGAGCTTTGCTATGAAATATAATCGCAAGGGGGTTAAAAATAATTTGACCTTTGACATTTAGCAAATAACTTATTTTTTGTATTACCGATAAAGAAGTTAGATTACAATGATACGTACCTTGGAGTAGTTCGAGCATTACGTCTTGTAGGGGGTTGGAGGTTAGGGTTCGGTTAATCAATCATTGAACACGGATCGGTCATTTATTAAAGCAAAACTTTATTATAGCAATAGTGAACAATGGATAACTATTAAAGATTTTTAACATGTTTTTCTTTTTTTTTTTGATAAAAATAGCGATTGGATGTTTAGGTTTAGGTAGTAGGTGAATATCTAAATGGGGTATCTTAATCGTACGAAATGCTCGCGAAAATGAATTTTTATGAGATTAGTTGGGAGAGTGTATGTGTGGGTGTGTGGTATGTATACACGTGTCTTATCAATGTAAATAATGGTGATGAGGAGGGGATGCGTCGCGAAATGTATGATTTTATGACAAAAATTGCAAAAAACGTAGTAGAAAATATATTGAAATATATAGTACATATAAGAAGCATGAATCGAATACAGTTAGTACGGAACGTTGAGTCTTTCTTTGATTTTGCAATTTTATTCGCGAACGACCAGTCCACTTTTTTTCTTCGCAAACTGATACGCGCTCGTGAATTTTTCTGACAATTTTCTGTTTTGCCGATAATACCAAGTTAATCAATTTTTCCGAAAATTTGAGTTTCGTTACACGACCCTTTTTTAGGGTGCGTCTGATAGATTAAACAAAAAAATTGTTTCTGACGTGGAATAAATCAATAATAGCCGCTGGTACTGACACAAAGCAGAGGCAGAAATGTTGGAAACAATTGGGGTGTATGAAATCGATTATTATCAGACTCGTAAAATCTCAGACTCCCCATGTGACTTATGTAACCCAAAATTTTTTTTTGAAATACTGAATTAATACGCGAATCAGTCGCAGCGATTAGGTCGGTGACGTGAATCATTCATTTGTTCGTGACGTCACATGCGTGTATTAGAAAGTGCTTGTGGGGGTATGTAAGTTGGATTTTTGGAAAAGTACAAAATGTATAAGTGGTGGGGATAGTGAGGGACGAGGATTAGCTAGAAGGGATATACAGATGGAAATAGATCGAAAAAAAGGATAGTCCTTAGGGGTAAAAAAAAATATAAATCGTAGGAAAATAATAATAGGGGATTCTTACATAACGAAGTACGTAATTATTAAAATGGAACCTAAGACAGTCGTTGGCTAGTTCTAATGATATTCCAATAAGTCATTATCAGCTAATCTCTTTATCGTAATAATAAGTCATCATATTTAATCCTTAGGGCATTACGGGAATAACTACCATATACCAAGTTGATCATACCGCATTATTACACGAAACCGAGCTAGCCTAATCTGCTTGGCGATTGACGTCACGGGAAGATTGCCAATCAAGACTAACTACACGCACATGCATCACGCACTTGTTTACGCATAATCGTTAAATACTTTTGCATTTGGAATTTCTAGTATTTTTTACGCGTATTCATTTTTTCGCGAAAAAAAGAATATTTATAAAAAAAAACAGTAAAAAATTGTAGGACGTGTGCTGTGGTGTAGATATTACGCGATTAATCGTGTTACCCGCAAGTGCAGCGACTACAGCGCCGCGTAGCGGACAATCGTAGAAAAGGACGAGTAACGAGAATTCTTTGATACTAAATCATTTTTTTTGCCGTCGCGCGGCCTGTGCTGCGAATTGCGTTACGATTATAGACGTATCGTGAGGAGGGATGGTTTGTCTACATTAATTTTTCTATTTTTTTTTTCATTCTTTCGCTCGACGCTAATTTTCCCGGTGCGTCAATCGCGATGACGTAACATACAATATTTAGTGATCTTATAAATAATATGTCTAACAACTTTAGGTTCATCTTAGATTGCTTTCCGTAATCACGCCGACTTCCTGTAAGAGCTGCAACACACATTCGCCGTTAATGCATGTTAGGAATTTGCTTCTGTATCTATTTTTGAATTTTTTTTTTTCATCATATCCGAAAAAAATCAGCGCTTTCTTTTCGATTTTTACTTAACCGCGACTGCGCGTGGAGCTCCTTAGCCAAAGATCATGTACCTTACTATTTTTCATTTTTATATTGCAATATTATGTTTGCTTATTTTTTTTTCCTCCCGTTTACTTCCTCGTAGATTTCATTTCTAGTTCGTATTATAGATTGATTACTATTCTTTACGTATCCACTGTTTTTCATTTAAATGCCTTCACATCGAATATTTAGGTATTTTTGTAAATGCTGGCGGGATTTTTTTCAAATAGTATAAGGTAGATACTTTTTCTCAGTGTAGATTGTTTTCGCGTCGAATCTCTTCGTTATCACTAATTCGCGCATGCGCAGTGATGGCAATGACGATAGGGTAATTGAAAATTTTCAAATAATTCATAGTCAACCAAAAACTCTGTTCAGGTCGATGTACCCGTAGGGTTTGAATTTTTCAAAAAAATCATCTCAGTCGGTTAACAGGTAATTTTTTTATTATATTCAAAATTAATGAAGTGTCAAGCTTCATTTTTGTGATATAGACGAGATTCGAGTGCGCCACCTATTACACTAAAATAGCAACTTACTTGGCTGGCCCATCCTCTTACATGCTTAGTTTGTCCTTAATTCGAAAATGTTCATCGTTACGAATCTTACCTCATTAATACTATTCAATACTTGTTGAAGCTCATAATAAGTACATACTCAAAGATTAATATTATCATTTTTTTTTTATTGTATTACCTCGCTTACTATATAGGTTTATTAATCGTCTAAGAACTTTACCATTTTCAATTATTATTCTTTCTTTCCACTTTTTTTTTAAGCTTCGATCATGCTTTTCACGCCTACCGATGACAAGGGTACAAAATTATAATCGTCTCCGGTTCAAGTCTCTTTTTTTTCATATCCGACCTGCACTCATGGCAATCCTTGAGAACGTCTTTGTACATAACTAAGAGATATATGTATTTATAGTATTTATAGTATGTATATATACCCTCAATCGCCCGAGAAACACACGGGTTTGGTGGGTTGGAACTCGCCCGACGTTGAAGAAAAATTTTTACTCGTTGCAAAATAAAATTAAAAAAAAAAAGAACGTGTACGAAGTAACCGCAAAACTGCGTATGTAAAATCATGCGCAGTTTCGGGTATTTTTGAAAAATTTTATTTACAAACTAAAGGGCAAGAACGAACTATCACGTTTTTTTTTCTTTTTTTGGAACATAAATCCGTACACGGAAAGGTGTCATGACCTCCCTAATATTTTATGATTAAGTATTTCTATGGACAAGGGGTTGTCGTCGATTTTACGTAAGAATTCCTGAAATATATAAATTTTTCCATATTTTTGTTGACCATGAAAAATCCCAAAAAAAATGGTATGACAGTATTAGCTAATGAATTTTGAGTTTTTTTTTAATTACTTTTTTTTTAATACTTTTTACCTGGAATTATGTAAAATTAATAGGGTGGGGGGATGACTTGGCGATGTGGTGGGGGTTAAGCTTATGAATTTTGAAATAAATTCGCGACTACCCTTAGTGTACGTGTGTGTCTGCGTTTGAGTCCACGAAATCGCGGTTCACTTAGTAATTTCGGACGCGGCTAATCCGTTTGAATCAGAAATTAATAAGCAAAACGTTTATCGTTTTTATTAATTATTAAAAAGTTAATCGCTAAGTTTACATGAGTGAATTTCGCATTTATGTACAATGAAGTACGCACGCGCGTGCGACAAACTCTTAGCCGTTCCACGTGTACATTTTCAAAGTATAGATTCATTTCTATACCGTGTAAAAAAAGTGTTTATATTTCCATCTGAATTTCCATTTGCCACCCGTGGATGAAAGTATTTATAAATTTGACTGTAAATATATATATATATATATATTCATAAGTTCCTTTATTAAATTTTCGGTATCTCTTCGATAATATGAATTCAGATGCCGTGTATTCACCGTTCATGGTAGAATTTGTTTATTACGTAATTTTTTTTACATTTTTCACGAAAACTCGCAAACATATTCAAAATACCGTTGATTTCATTTCTATCGGTAATGGAACGTCGAACGCGCGTGGTACGATGGTATATAAATAAAATAATAAAACGACAATAGCATAGTACTAGTCGATATTAAAAAAATGGCTTTTTAAGTAAAATAATCTACGTGACGTAAGTGCAAGCCTCGATTTTGTAGTATAAAAAAATTTTTAAGTAATACTAAAACGCCTTAGACTAAGAACATTAAATGCAAACACCCATAGGCAAAAATGCTCACAGGTCTTGTTAATAAAGAAAAATAAAAAATTACCATTAGGTTGTTGTTGAAAAGTAAAAAAAAAACCTTTGAAAAGTCGCGGCGTGTAATAACGTTGACACGAAGAAGCCGATAATCTCATGTGTAACCTGCGTGAAAGTCGCATATATATATATATATTAAGGGATGCGGGATGCGTTGACGTTATCAATTAATTCCGATTTGGACTCGATAAATTTAATATCGCAATTAATAAAAGTGTCTTATTTACTCATATCCCCTCCTCCCCTCTTTGTCCCAACATCGATCTGTGGCAGCTTAAATCCTATTTACGCAATGCATAACGCGCGCCTACGTCCAAGATTAATTACACACTCATGATTGTTTTCTGCCGTAACCAAGAATGGACCGAAAAATTCGACTTTGGGTTTTCCCTCAATTTTTTTTTTTTTTAATTAATCCTCTTTACACAATCATCATCTTAATCGAGGGAAACGACGCTTCGGCGAATCCAAGAAGTCGTATCAAAAAGTCGTATCAATGCGGTCCGTTTATACCACGACGCCTATATATATCACAGGTCTAAGAAAACAGAAAATACGTATTTTACATACATAGCTTTCCGCACTTTTTTCTTTGTTCGCGGATGATTGGTCGTCTACCGTGACGATGGCTGATAACCTGATTTTCCAAAAAAAAATTTTTCAAATCCGAAAAGTCTGCTAGTCGTAATAGCAGATAATGCTTGTACGTACCTAGGCACGAGATAATTCTGACTCGTCTGTGGATTCGACATTAGTGTGGCGGTAAAGTCTGTAAAAGAAAAAATCCTTCCAGGACTAACCCTTTGATCAGGATTTTTTTTTCATTTTTTAACCACACAGACAAATCCGAACTGATGGATTCTATGGAATTCACTGGTCGCCATCGTCGGGGACATTTTTTTATTTCTCCAGCTTTGGCGTCAAACGGCACTCTGTCCGGCGTCTCCTTGAATGAACTTTTGCCCTTTCATTTTTTTCATCCTATTTCCCCTCTTATAAGTACAGTCATTATATACAGTAGACGATTATTAAAAAAAAGAAAGGGAGAAAAAAGATAATAAAGGACCTCGCTAGTCACGGGATCCGATATTTTATCGGAGTCTCTTTTTCCTGACCCAATGACGATTCTGATCGATCAGATCATTATTGCGTACCTATAAGAGGAACGCCATTCGAGCACCGTTTTTATAAACCAATTATACTACAGTTCATTTTTCATAAATCGCGTAATTATTTTTCGTTGGTTTTTTTTTTTGCATTTTCTTGAAATATTTTTAAATTACATTTCCCTTCCCGTTCACCGACGTTCCTTTAGCTCTTCTTTACAAACATTCGTTTTTTTCCTTTCCAAATTCTTACAACTACCTAATCTTTTATTTAGCAAAAGTCCAGTCGTGGTATCGATGCCAAACGTAGTTACCTGCCAGCAGAACGGTCAGCGTCATACGGGAATTCGTACTTGGACCACGGTTTCTCGGCAGAACGCTAATGTGAATAGTAGTATCATAATCTCGGCTGGATGATGACAGGTCTAGGTCACGGTTCCATCACACCAAAGGCGTGCCGTATACTTCATTGGTATGAAGATTCTGATTACTGTCGTTTTGTCGGGACGCACATTGCTGAAACAGAAGGAAGTGAGGGAAAATAGAAAAAAAAATTATTTTTCAAGTCGTGAAAAAGATAAAAAAAATTTGTCAAGTTAGCGAAAAAAAAAATGAGATATTTAATGTCTATTGAGCAATCGTTAAAAATTTTATAATTACCAATCAAACTCACCGCTTGCTTGCGCTCCCAACTCTTCATTGCTGATTTGTACTTCTCGAACTCGTGACACCAGTCCGAATAGATTTTCTGGTAGTCGTTGGACTTTGCCGGCGCGGAACATCTATGCGCGTCCACTGTTATATTGTAGGAACAGAGTAAGGCGCCGCCAAGCCAACAGTCGTATCTTCCAGCATCCTGTTCATTGACACCGACGATCACGAGTCCCTTTTCTGAGGTCTCGATGAACTTGTCTCCCCCAGCGCCGTACTTGTACACGATTTGATAGCGACCCTTCTCCTTACTGTAATGATACCATCTGACCTCCTGGTTCGCGAGGACTTCCGGCATCTTCACGAAACAACCCAAGTGCACAGACTGACCCCAGGTCACGACCAGCTTTCGCTTGCCAACGCTGCTGTCACAGACATCCGCTGTGCTATTTGAGACGTCCTGTAGAAGTCTGCAAATAAAGTTGGGAATGCACGCTTAAAACATAAATTTCAAAAATGTGACCAGGACCCACTAAAATGAGGAATGCGGTTCATTTGGAGGTTATAAATTTGAGATTTTTTAAAATTTGGAACAAACCAGGTCACCGTGGTTGAAATGAATTATTTTCCCATTTTAAAGTGCACCTGTCACATGGGATTGACTCGTACGGAAATATCGTGACAATTGTTTGAACTCTCACCCTGGGGTATATGGTTTGCAAGTGTTGGTATCCTTGTCCCAGCCACAGTAAGGATCGTGAACGCATCTAAGACAGTTGTCATATCTACGAGAGCACATGACTAGGTCAATCTGTTTGATTCGGTGATCCGATGCTACGTATAGAGCCTTGTGTTCCCTGGAGATTTCCATAGCTTGAATTGGTTCACCAGGAGTCACGTCAAAGACATCCAGTAGTATGGATTGGGATTCGCCATTGCTGTCCAGCCATTGAACAACTTTGTGGACTCTTCCGTCGCCTGAATTGAGAATGAGAAAATTAAACCAAATCGTACTAATAGTAGTCCATGATAAGGTCATGGGTCAATGACTCACTGGAACCGGCATAGTAGACGGTATAGTCCGTGTCCATGCCCACAAAGTCGATTCGAAGTAAGTCAACGACAAGTCGCGTAAGCATGACGTCCCTTTTGAAAAAAACGGGCTTTTCGTTCTCATGCGAAATGGCCGAGTCCATTAGCGGATGGGACCTTATGAAGTTCAGTACAGTATCCGGAAGTGTTTCGGTATCGTTGACGCACTGTCCAGGTCGCGGATTTGGGACTCTGGTAAGCGTAACCGGAAGCCAGGCGCTGTTGCTGGAGGCTTGTTCCTTGAACTTCCCTCTGAAGGCTTCCTGAATGGCGTCGATGTGAAAGGAACATATAGCAGATCCCATGAGACCGTTCGTGGAAGTTGTAAAAGTCCCATAAAAGTGCGTGTTGTCGCCAGGCACCTTGTAGATACTTTCTGCAAAGTCCAATTGGTATTTACTTTCGTGAGTGTGGCGGGAAAAATTACTATTTTTAAAACCTGACAAACTTTACGATTACTCACGTATCTCATTGAAGTAAAACGGAAATTCTCCTGGTATCGAACAATTCAGCCTGGCTTTTAGGTACGTTGCCCAATTTTGGGACAAAATGTTTTTACCACCCGTGTCCCGTTTGCAGACACGTGCCACGCGCGAGTAGACGCTCTTGCCGCAGTTTATATATTCAACGGCAGTCTCACGGAAGAAAAAGAACACGTGACTTCCTATGTCGAAAGATCCGACAAAGTTGGGTTCTGAAATAAGGTTATGCGTTAGGGGTCGAAGATTTGGGATTCTTTTACGTAAGATACAGAAATTAAAGGTTTTCAAAAAAATTTCGTATCCAATTTAATTCTAATATTACATTTTTTTTCTGGGACACCCGTTAGGTAACTATTCAATCTTTGAATATGAATCCTCTAATTTTCCTTGTTCCGTCTCATGTATTTCTTACGGTTACGGCATCAAGACCAAAAAATATACCGGAAACAATTTACCTCGTACGGAATTGTACAGGATGTCAAAACAAAATTCAAATGCAATGCAAAATGCACGGAAACCATTCTCTGCTTTAATACAATACGTCTGTGTACTTACTTACAGTGACTAGGAGTCTGTAAGAAATACCAAGTACTGCACCGGAGTATTATTAAGCCAGTAAACGGAAGTTAAACTTTGCCGTCGCAGTTATGAAACTAAAGCGCGACTTTGGACTTGGGAGTTTACACGAGTCTTTGCCATTTTGTTTTGTGTCACTGTATCCATTTCTGAAGCACATTTTGCTTAACGAACTGCTATACTTTTTACGGCTCTGGGCATTATATCATAACGTCACGAAACTGTTATTACCTAGACTGTATATATATACGTATTAGTTCTTTGTCCGACTCGTAAACAATTTCTCGAACTTGTATCACCGGCGTTTCTCATTGAATCCACAGCTAAGATATTCGTCGAGATATTCGAATAGCGAAATGTTAGTTTACCGAAATAAATAAATCGGGAATATCGCCGTCATTAACAAAGATTCAAGCTTCGCCGTAAACCAAAGTAAAAATGGATCTTTGCGATCTCTTAAAAATTCGAAGATCGGTAGGAGCAACACAATGGGACCGTAAAAGTGAACATTAGGTAGACGAGTTTCGGCCGATAAACAAAGTTTTCCAAGTGGCCAAACGCGCGAACGACTTTTGTCGTTTTCATTTAGCGCGCGAAAGCCCGAAGTGCCTTTTGGGTTTTAAGGAGGTTTTAATGAGCATCCACTTGTCGCTTTACGATCCAAAGTCGTAAAAGGCTTTTAACGGTTCATCCGTTATGACCGAGAACATTAATATTGCCCGAATGCGACTGAATCGTAAGAGGGTTCCAAACCCAATGGAGTCAAAACCTAAAAAAAGTATATCAAAGATAAAATAAAAAAAAATAAAATGAAGACAGGAAGAATTTCATCGAACGTTCATCCTACTATGGGCTTCATAAATCTAACGTCGGAGACACCGAAAGATACGAGCGACGTCTCAACGTTCACAATCTTGCTTTACAGTTGAACGATTAAATCGATTGTCTGACGCAGCCAAGAAGGGAAGTTTGATGTATTGAGCTTTGAGGTGTCTCAGATTTGTGAGAAGTTTCTCCCATCCTCTCTCTCTCTCTCTCTCTCTCTCTCTCTCTCTCTCTCTCATGAATAGCATCCACGATAGAATTCACTCAAGCGATTTGATTATAGCTTAATGCATCTCGGAGTATGGTTTTCACTTTCGGTTCGAAAGGGATAATTAAGTTAACTAAGAGAATTCCACTTGAAATATCTATGCGCCCACACAAGTAGAATCCCAACGTCTGATTCCTTTTCAACAAAATTTAAATTTTCTATCGGTAACACCTCCAGTAGGCCACCACTACAGTAGCGCAGTGGGTTAACAAAATTTGGTTTGTGAGTAAAAAAAAAAACAATCATCCCTCTACAATTTGTTGTTCCAAATTCTTGTCGGCTTCCTGCCCTAATTCCGCTTCAGGTCAGGTCAATCGACTCCCGATAAAAATTGAATAAAGATAGTCGATATTCCCAAAAATAATTATTACACAGCTGCAATAAACCTATTGTAAATGTTAAAACCCACGGTGATAACGAAATGAACCAGGTATAGGAACTAATGAAGAATCGAAAAATTTGGTTGGAGTGGAGATGGCAGGTGGCCACGCGACGCGTTCGCGAAATGTCATTTCGCGTGTGCATGGGCCCATGAAAGTGGATGCTCGCGCCTCGTCAGCTAGTTATTCAGGGCTTGTTAACTCTCCCGGGTTGGATCGCATCAGTCTTCATTGTATGTACTTTAGACTTGACGACGGGCACGTGAACTCATCCGTCTCTCTCCGTCCCCCTAGTTGCTCTCGCGCATTTAATCAACGCTTTTACTAATAGACAAACTCAATATAGAATGGCTCTTGATGTTAATGTTTCAAGAGGCGGGGAAGGATACAGAGAGGAGACAGCCTTGCTTCGAGGGACTGACTGGTACTGGCTTTAAATTAAACGGCGAAACAAATAGCTAATGATGCATCCCGAGCGAAGGGTAGTTTCCGCTTGGGGTTGTCTACACGCAAATAGATGGTGAAAAGAAAAAGGGAAAGAAATGGGGTAGGTAATTTAGTTTCTCTAAAGCGTGACGATGATGGCAGAAAGAGGGGGTGCGGATGGGGGTTGAAAAAGTTAAACGGATACTCGAATAGTTCTCGACAGGTAAAATTAGGTCTGATATCTGTTTTAAGATGTCATAGGGGTAATTCTTGAAGTAGTTGGTATCGATTCTAAAGGGTTATCTTTTGGGGGATGATCTCGATTAATTCCAACCCCCTTTTTCAAAGTACCTCAAAGCTTCCAACTGGGTAAGTTTAACGTCTTTGAAATGCGGCAGGGGATTCGTGAAGTAGTAGGAGCGGATTCTCCAGAAGAGGGCTGGTGTTATTTTATTAGATCGGCGCAAGGACTCGCACCCTCTTTGACTTCCGATAGCCCGGATCCCGGCGACCCGCTACCCTTATGTTTTCGCGTTCCTGTAACTAAAGGATGTGCCTGCTAGGGGACCCTCTAAAATAGACGGCCCAAGTGACACCCAAGTCCCAGCTCACGCGTTCATTTAGGCCCCTCTGTGCTACCAGGCCTTGTAATTTCACCTTGCCACTTCGAAGACACATTTACACCCTTCGTCATGGTTCATCATCCGTGTCAGAAATCACTTCCGTCGACGCCCTTGTTACTTTCCTTTTAAAATGTTTTTTTTTTTTTATTCAATCTAGAGCTGTATTCAGGGTCCTGACTCTATATTGATTTTGAGGAAATAAAGGCTTTTAGTGTACTTAAGTAAGGTACTCACTGTCCAACCACTTCGAATCGTACTTCAATGTCCTCTTGAAGTGGAAAACCTTTCGTCCCGAAGTTAAATTGTACAAATCCGTGCGAAAGATGACGGTATCGGCCTTAGTGAACTCGGCATTAGTACCAGAATAAAGAGCAGGCAGATCACCTGGATTACCCTTCTCTACCCAGACAGCCGTCGAATTATCTGCAGGATCGTAAGGACACTTCGCTATCCCAGTACCAACGCCGGGTACGAATTCGTGTCTCGAGAGATGAGTTAGGTTGCTCTAGAAATGTAGTGATAAAATTTTTTGATATTAGATTAAACGTTAAATCCTTTAAGTCCTACGCTGAAAAAGTTCTTACAAGAGGATAGGTCTGAATAAAAATTTGAGTTACGGCTTTAAAATTTTTTGATGAAGCATTTTATCTTAAAAAGAAAAAGAGAATAATTCCAGTCGTATCCTTTTTTGTTCTTGTAAATATTGATATAAATTTTTAATTTCTCTATTGATACGATCGAGCGCATCAAGACTTATGATCGCACTTAATGGCAATTTTTGCCCTTACTGCCCCTGAAAAAACTGTCGTTACGAGGGTCCTAGTGTGCTCGTGGGGCTCGTAAGCCACCAAGATCAAGAAGTAAATCTTTTCTAGGATCGTTACACGAGTACTTAGATGGTAGGTTAGTTTCGGGTCGTGTTTTAAAAAGAAATTCTGACTCACGTAGACGACCCAGTCCTTCGGGGAGTGGGCGTTGGTGCCGCACATGTAGAGTCTATTGCCGTCCCCAATGGGTTGTATTACTCGTATGTGATTCCGGCAATCGAAGTGCTGAAAAGAGATGAGAATCTTAAAGTTTGAGAATTAAAGTCATGGGACTCTTGTTCACTTGTTAAAGTTTGAAATTTCTTCTTTGCTTGATACTTTTTTTTTTTCCTATCCCGTCCCGAGTTTATTGATCGACACTTTTTTAACGAGAGCAGTCGCGTAGAACTCCTACATATTCATGCCTTTGGCTCGTCGTGAAGCGTATTTCGAAAAAGGTTGGCATTAACGTCACGTAGCGAATATTCGCGGCGGAGTGAACGATGTTACACCTCGGAAGTGCACGTTGCCGCATACGAATGCGCATCGACGTTCAAAAAAAAAAAGGTATACTATGAGCTAATATAATGATTTTGTCGAATTTAAAAAAGGAATTGCTGATTGCCACGTGTACTGGCTTGAGGCTATATAGTATTAATTAATGAAACCAATATTAATATCGGCATTCGGATGAAATTTTGCGTAGTGACGAACGTATGCTTTGAGTAAGCAAAATTTTACGAAGCATAATTCTTCTTAAGATTTTCATTTTTTTTTTTTTTTAGGTAAATTATTGAAATTAAATATTGAGTGAAATAATGTCTAATAAAAGTAAATACGGTTAAAGGTCATCGAATTTACCTCGGATTTTCCTTTGGATACACAATGAGCCACGTCGCTTGGTTCAAGATTCAAAGCGTCTCTCTGAAACAGAAAATTGGATAGACGTCAAGTAAAATCAGGGTCTCCCTTAATGTAATGAAGTTTCACCAGACGAGAAGCGAGAGACCTAAAAGTAGCGACGTTCTTTCAAGCGAGTTAAATAATTAGTGAAAGCAATAGGGGTTGACATTCCGTGACTGGTCCACAATTAGGATGCTTTTTTTCTCGAGTACAAAGATTAAGATTTTTGATTGACTCGTGCCATCTTTTCATCCCTTAGTTTCTCTCGCATCTTCCGCGTCGCGACGTTCCCCAATTCCCCCGAGGTTAGTTCCACCTCGGTTCGGTCCCAGAGAGCCGTTAGAGTCGAAGGAAAGTGCATGCTCCACATTTTGGAAGAAAGAAAAGCGCTCGGTTCGTGGTTCGAAAGGTGTGAAGCGACAACCATTTCTTTTGAGAAAACTCAAACGTGCTGGAATAAGGTCACGGTTCATATTTTTCTGAAAAAAATAATAAAACCTCATCCCGCACGCTGATACGTACCAAAAATATTTCTACGGAGCTAAAATATCTCGTTTATCGATCAAACCCAAATTTTGAAGTCTGATAAAAATATCTGATCAGGTCCTCGAGACAATTTTCTCCAAACGGAGAAAAAAGTCCATTATCATAACGGCAGCACTGTACAGGACTAATTTTCTCTCGCAATAATTAATTTCGACACGGTTACAGCGTACTGGTACCTTAGCGCTTATCATACAGGTCGAGTGCATACTAGAATTCTAGCACAGGAACTAACCCTTTGTACAATCTGACCTCACTCACCTTTCATAGTCCCAGCCCCTTCAACCCTTAGCTACATACTCAAGACTCAACACTTTAGACCCACTTTTCCTACATACCCAACACGTTTTTCCCAGCACCTACTTCATATTCCTCGCATCGCTCACATCAGTGAGAAAGATGGCGGTCGATTTAATCATTTTTAATAGGTCTGATAAAACAGCCCGTTATATCCCCTGTATCCCCAATGTTCGTGAAGAGTTTTGTCTCGTAGCTGTAAACCCAAAAGCCCTTACCCCCAGCAACCCCCTTTATTTCCAACACGAAATACGAGACAGTGTGCTAACAAGAAAATTTCTAGGTGTTCAGCGTTCTCGAAAAATTTCCAGCTTCCGCGTCTTAAAAAACCAACAAGAGAAGCATTCCAGTGGATATGCAAGAGGAGAGCGCGAACAGGGAAGAGGAACGAGCTTAATCAGTCCACGATGCCGAAAGTCTGAGCCTCGGGCCTTCTGAATGGGATGGATGCGACCAGAGATCCAGACACGGAGAAAATCATAAAGAGGAACCCGAGAAGTAGGACATGAGAACCTGAAGCAGTGATTACACACGGACGCCCCGGTGCATAATCAGCGCATCTTGTCCGCATCTCACTGTGGATGCTGGGGCTTTTCGAATTGCATCTTCTAATATTCAATGAAACGATTCGTCATCAAAACAGGCTCACCAGGATCAATATCAAATTCCCGTACCATTCGCGACCCCTGACCTCGTCTCGTCCCATAGTCTTTCAAATCTTTGTTAATTAATTACAAATAGACTTGCGATGAATTAATAGAATATTCAGGCAGATAGAATTCCAAGAGGATTTTCAGAGTCAACTTGTGCTGATATTTCTGTTTAATAGTTTGTGGGGAGACCCTTATGAACCGGATGCGACCGTAATGGAAAGCTTGGCATTTGTATGCCAAGTAAGGCGCACATGGGCAGGGTCGTAAAGTTAATAGCGAGGCCTGCAAGCTCAATAATAAAATACATTGAGCTTTGTCAACGAGGTATATATTTATCTATGTGTATATGTATATGTACATAATACTGTAATGGAGCTTTTACTCGGGTGGGTTAGTTGATACAACCAAGATCATATAATCTTACAAGTTAGAAAGCTCGAATATTACGTACGAGACTATCTTACATAAGCCACTTCTGCTTTACCTTGGCAAACGTAAGTGCCGGTAAGCACTTTAAGCTCTCTCTCTCTCTCTCTCTCTCTCTCTCTCTCTCTCTCTCTCTCTCTCTCTCTCCGGGCTATGGTTTCGTATGATCATTACGACGGCCTATACCCCATAGCTACCTAATTGTACTAGTTATGGTCCTTACGAGTATATTACCGAAACTGTATCTTTAGTTTCCGGTATCTTGTCGATTTTGCACTTCCCACTCAAAATGCAGGAAGATACTAACTATTTAACGATTAGTGTAACGAGACTATAAAGGATATTACGTACGTGCGCAGATAACGGAAGTGACTTTTAATAACCGGATCACTACAGCGGGTTATTAAATTTCAATATTCATATCCGGTATGAATGTGTAACATTTATTGAAATTACGATCCTACAAACAGACACGCGTACTATTATAGTCAATATACATAGTGCGTAACGTTAAGGGCTGAAGAAAAAGCACATATCTTTCAATACTCGATAAAAGATCGAGTAACCCGGAAAAAGTTCATTAATGTTAATTAAAAAAAAAAAGTGTTCATTCGTTAGCAGGATATAATTGAAGCCTTAAAAGTTCATCGGGTAATGGCGACAATTTGGAACAAGACTAGGGGATGTTCGCCGGGGGGGGGCTGGGGGGGG